AAGAAAATCAGTAAAAAATAAAAGCCTGAATTTAAAATGAAGAGTAAAAATTGCTCATTGTCACTAGTGCTGAAGTTGCAGGATAAGTCCTCCTACCTTAAACATTGATGTTTGGATTCACATGAAATGACCAAAGATCAATAATCTAGTGTGAAAAAGGTCCTGCACAGGTAGAATGAGGACAACTGTGGTGATGTTCTAAAACAGTATAAGCTGTATATCAATGACACTGGGACCAGTAGAAAAGCATAACTTGCAAATTTTGACTTTGCAAAATGTAGGATGGCTACTGTTTTCTTATATGAAACATTGACAGACTGTGGAAAGTTGTGTAGATCCTCATTGGAGAGGGAAATTTCAGTGGATCATCAAAATGAAGTTGAGCATTTTCAGGAGAAAAACTAGATAGCCCATTCATCAAAACAAAGCAGAATGTGACTGTAGCTGGTGCAAGACAAAAAAAATACCATACTTATCTGGATGAGCAAAAGAAGCGTAAAGAAAATGAAACCAAAACACTGAAAACAAATGCTCATAGATGAAATAAAGAAAAAGAAACAATGCATTGAGACAGATGTATAAGGTCTGTAGAAATTACCTGGTGAATTTGCTTTGAAGACTGAAAGCACAAGAGAGCTGACCTTGATTGAAAATCAAGTAGTTTGCACTGGATCCACAAAGGAGAAAGTTCTAGAATCTGGCACATGTACAAAAATAATTGGATGAAAAGCTCAAATAATTTAAAAACATGTAAAAAGTAATTCAGATACAATATGTGAAAAGCATTTATGTATTAGAACTTGTGTTTGCATTATTACTATTAAATGCGTTTTAATATTCAGAAAAATTTCTTGATATGGTCTTAAGACAGTCAGTAAAAGGATTATATTTGTGAAAATAAACCAATTTGTGTGTTGTAAAAGTAGTACATTCATTTACTCAATATACCTCACAACATCATTTCACATTTTTTTAACACAAATGTTTTTATTTTCCAAGAAACAAAAAAATGAAAGAAGAAATATTACATATTTCTTACTCCACCTCCTAAACCCACATTGTTTTAACTCCGTAACAACAATGTGCTGCACTTTACCAAACATTACGTAACTCTTGTTATATTTCTTTACAAAAATAAAATGAGGAGATAAAATTGTTTAAAACTTGACAAGAACTTTCATAAAAGTATGTAGTTTGAGAAAAATAAAATATTTAATTTTGGTTTTTTCTACTATTTATAATAAAAATTTGTTTTTTAATGTAGTTATTTGCACTCAGACTCTAAATAGTTCACCTGCAAGGTAATTTTCACTTGAAAAAACCTCTAGAACCTCCTAAATGATTATCAAAAATTTTCTTAAGGTAAATGTTTATATTTTCTATAGTATACCACTAACTCTAGCTTATTATAATCAATGTACGGTGCAATGAAATGCTTAAAATTAAGAAAAGACATATATAGATACCTTTAAACTCATCATTGAATAATCTTAAAATATCTTCTTTGGGTCATATGCATAATTTCATGTCTTTACCTTTTCACCTATAGTTTATTTTTAATGTTTTACTTTCCTTTCCTGTTTTTTATCTTAGATTATTTATGTTGACACACATCAACATGTGCTTGCAGGCAATATAATGTTAACATTGACAGAAACTGTTTTAGCCTCATGCAAAATCTTTGCTCTTGCTAACTTTATGAAAGCTGGTTGAGAAAAGTATAGAATAAGTTTTAAAAATCATTAATCCTTTCAAATATGAATTTTAATACATAATTAACTAAAATATAACAGTAAAACTGAAATGCAATTTAACTGTCTATCAAACTAATATGTATAAGGCGAGAAAAAGTAGCCAAGTACTAGGAACCCTGCACTCAACAATGGACTAAGATTTATTTTGCATCGTTTGTAAATGAATATATACATCTACATTTACTGTTAATTTAGAGACATACCAACAAGAAATCTGCTCTTTCTATTGATTATAAACATGCCATTCAACTTAAAACTGTCACTTAGCAACACAGCTTCTACTTTGCAAGTGGGCATGGCTTAGCTTGAAGTGATAAAACTTTTACAATCATTATCTTGGGGACTAGTTCTTGGAATGTTCTCATATTACTTGTAAACAACTTGTATACACTGTACATTGAATGTCTTGGAAAGAATGTCTACATTTACACGTAAAGTTTTTTCTATACCAGCTCTAAAAGTTGAGAATGGTAATTGCGAGCATATAATGTGACCTCAAAAGTCAAGTTGTAAATAGTATTTTAGAAGTTTATTTTGATATAAAGGAATAAAAACTTAGATAACATAAAACTTTGAATTATAATGTACTTGATAATAATAATTTCATTACAATACATGGACATTGAAGTAACTTAATTGAATTTTGGATGTATCTCAGTAATATGCACAGAAAGGGTTTTAAACATAGTGTCATAGTTATAGGGTTAAGACAGGATGAGTATTATGGACTGATCCAGAATTTGCTGATTCTGAATAGTTGGCTAGGCATAATCCTACTGACATCTAAAAAGTGATTTCAGTTTCCTGCAGTGATTATACAGGGTTCCTTCAAATCCTTAAAGGTCTTATATAAGTTTAGCATTTTTAAGCCCTTGAAAAGTCTGAAATTTATTACTGAAGGACTTAAAACAGTCTTAAATCAATGACAGATTAAAAAATTCAGAATTGACACAAGTCTATTAATTGCAATCACTTTAACTTTGTGATGGGAAACAATGTACAGCTGCCCCTGGGTGCTTTTGTTTATTGTCTCAGGTTTCTCCAATTGTGGCCTGACTTCTCTAAAGTGAATGTAATCTGCATTTGAACAACATGTATTGTGAATGTTTAACAACTTGGGTAGTAACCGGATCATGTTCAAAACACTCAGTTTTTGGTAGTTGAGCACAGAGAAAGCATTATGGCAGAATTTAGTATTTGCATGTGTTTCACTTCATTTGTTGAAAGTGTAGTTTTACACCACATTAGTAAATGTAAAAACTGATGCAGTATACTTAAAATTCACAGTATTTTATCCTCACAAAAGGGTATGATTGCATACAAAGTCCAAATTTACACTGCAACCTGAAAATATAATAATCTAGCTACTAATCAACTTTAACTGAATGATTTGGAATTTGCCAAATTCCACAAAACAATTAAAAACAGTTTACCTGTTTTGATATGTGGTTGTCCACATTAAAACTAGTAGGAGTAATATTTGTGCACAAATTTTGGGTTAGTTATTGAAATGTGCATCTACGAAGTCTGGTTCAGTTAAGTCTGTTGACTAAAATGGTAATATATAATATAATGTCAAGGCATTTGGAAGTCGCATAGATTTGTTTCCTTCTCAGAATTACTGCATTTATGTAAAAAAATCTCCTTTCATGACATTTTGAAAAAAAAACTTGCCAAAGAATGATGTGATGTGGTCTACATTTAGTGTTCTTCCACATGAGAAAATAATCACTTTTGAATACAAAGTCACTCAATTTTATAGGTGTGGCTGGATTATGTGCTACAGCAAGTGTCTTTCTAGTTTTGTTCTTTGCATTGGTGAACTTGCACAGATCATTAACCTGTCTGGTCTGGCAACATGCTAAAGCCTGGTTCTCATTTTTGGTAAATGGTGATGAATTGGTAATCCTTTGCAAGTGTGGCTGCAGAGACATTTGTCTCTGATAATTAGAACATTGATATATATATATATCATCATTGATCATTAGCGATATTCACCAGTTGTCCCCAGTCATTGGCAATCACAATGTAACTAGATAGAAAATCTTTAAATTAAAATAAAGCCCTGACCATTATAAATAGAATTTTGAAATGTGTACATTGTTCCTAATGAATTGCTGATTGCTTACAACAAATTAGAACTAGGCCTAAGGGTTAAGACTCATTGTCAGGTGTGCACATAACTATCACTCTTTTGAAAGAGAAAAGTTACTTACTAAGATGCATATAAGCTAATGGTGGCCAATTATTACTGCCCTTTTAAGAGTTTTTGTTTTGTTTTTTCTGTGTGTGTGTGTGGCCAAACTCTGTGTTTTGGTAGCACTAGCTACAATCTTCATGGGGAAATTTAAAACTGCAACAGGCATTCAATAGTGCAGCAATTGATAGACAACATCAGCCTTGTCCTAGGACCATCCATTTCAAAGAGAACGATATAGAGGCAGCTGCAAGAAATTACTTTTAGTACATGTAATAGTTTTAACCACTAACAAAAAATTGCATTTACTGTGATGCTTTGAAATATTGACCAATGAAACTGTGTTATGTAATCAAATGAATCTTGATATGTGCTATTCTGTATAGACATGAGCTTTGAAACCTTCATATGTTTCCAATTTGCAAACTGCTGGAGGTGAAGTATTGTTGTGAGTTGCATTTTCATAACACAGAGTGTACCTCTTAGTCTCTGTGAATAGTTGCATTACATCTCACCCATATCTGAGATCTTTGGATTAAGTGCATTCTTTTTTGCTCCATTTGTATCATCAAAGTGATGGGTATCTGATGACAATGCCACCATTCGCTGTACTGATATTATTCATGATTAGTTTGAATATCATATGGAAGAGTTCCATTATCTGCTTTGGTAGCCATAATTCCCCACACCTCAACCCAAGTAAGAATCTGTTTTCCTTTACCTTCAACATTGTAGGATATGGAGACAGTATTGTTTGAGAAATGTGTGAAAGTCAAACAGTGTATATAATACTCAGGATTCAGACTTTCATTAGAATGTAATCCAATGTACTATTGAACATGGTTTTTAATTTTTGACAAGTTGTTACATCTGATATCATGTTTTTACATAGAATAGCTTGAATCCTTGTGAACCAAATAAAATCTTAAATTTAACTAAAAGTTAACGTATAGTCACCCATTCACACAGATTTGATTAAATATTATAAATATATATTATAGAAAAGCACTTAATGTACATTATTAACAACGTTGTGCTTGAATTTTCAGAACAATATGATACTTTTGTGAAATTTACCTATGACCAAATACAAAGGAGATATGAAACTGAAACACCTAGCTGTAAGTACTGGTTTCTATTTTTTCATTATTTTTAACTTGCCTGATGTGGTCTAGAGACATAAAAATAATACTAGTTATCTGACAGAGTACTTAGTTTTTATTTCATTATTATAAAAAATCAACTTACCAGTAAATGGGTATCTGTAAACTCTAGTTACTAATCTGATTCTTTATGGCAGTCATTCTGAAAGCTAATATTAAAGATATTGCATGTGTAGAATAGTTATTACTCATGCTATAGTGCTTTAGCTTAGATACTAGAATTATTAAAGAATACTTTTGTATATGCAGATGACTGAAGTAACATTTTAGGGTAGCAAAATAGTTTGATTATGTTAAAACCTTTAAAAGTATATCCGTATTGATTACAAATATGTAATTAATAATTTTTGAATATAATAAAATTGTATCAACTAGGATGTCCAGAAACTACTTTTACAATTTGACAATATTTTAATTTTACAAATTTGTTAATGTATGCTTTTTCTTGGCTTTCACTCTTTCATTGAATAGTGCTATAAATTTTTATGTATGTGTAATATTGTTAGTTAGTTTCAAATTTTCACAATAGAAATACTCTGCATGGGAATACATTTTTTGGAGGATTTTTATTAGTGAATGAATAATGCATATGTTTGCTTTCATATTATACCTTTATTGAATAATTGATGCTACTCTTTCAAGACTAGCCACATTCCATTAGTAGGTTTATTTACATCCAAGTTAATAGCACATCTCAAAAATTTCCTGAAGGTAAATTTTTTATATATACATATTTCTTAATACATTTATGTATGTGTAATTTATAAGAAATTGTTTAACTTTTCTCTTCTGTTTGTTTTTCCAGACTTGTCATAAGCTCTTGCTTACTGTATCATTATTAGATCAAGAGATGGACCCTGTTTTCTGTCCACCAGCATTGTGGGTGAAGCTTTGACCACATAGTATCAACTACACTAGTATACCAAGAAAGTGTGGGTCCAGCATAAAATGTGTACTTTTGCAGGGGGGATGAGTAATATATTGGATATGATGATACTTATTATGAACTCCAAACTGAACAAAGTCAAATGATTTGATTTTCATTTATTTTGCTAGTGTGGCTGAAGAGGCATATCAATATTTTAAAATGGTCCCTGGTCTGGAAACAATAACATCCAATAAGGATGTTTCCTTTCTCTACTTTAGATAAGTGTTGTTGCAGTAACTATAAGTTATCATGTACATGGTTATATGTGTGCAGACAGAAATATGTCTGTTAGGATTTTGACATTTATATATGTTTGTGTGCATGCTTATACACTTCCTGTTACTCAGCAGCATTAAAAAATGAAAATCTGTATTGGAGGTTAAACATAATGCAGAACAGGAGATCATCTGATTTTTTTTCAATTCAGAGTTTGTTATCATGTGTTGGTAGACTCTGAGGTCAAGACTAGGTATTTATATGAGACATTAATTCACAGGTACAGTATGTGGAACGTATTAAACATGTTCTGAAGCAAGAGGATTGAACCTCATATACAAAATAGCAGCTTTCCACAGGTTTAGTTATAGTTGTAGTCAAAATGTTAAGCTCTGCAGTAGTTTTGTAGACTAAGAATGAATTAGCAAGAATTGCACTCATGATGCATTGTTAAAATGTGACTTAAAATCCATCAAACATTAGAGAAACAGAACTGTATAAAGAAACATTGTTTCTTACTCTATAGTATAAAGTTTCCAACACTACTTGGTGCCATATAGGCTTCACATTCACCAGTGTTTTATAGTTAAGTTTTAGTATGGAGGAAAGTGTTTTAGTGTTTTAAAGGAAACTGGAAGGATTTTTACAAGAAGTTGAAGAATTACTGTACACTTTTTGGCAGAATATAACTTTCAGTGAACCTCAGTTTCATATGGAAGTTTATGTAGTGCTTTCCACAACTTTGTATTAAAAATATAAGCATAATAAAGCTTTTGTTAGAATTAAATATTAAAATTTTTGTTCTTTTTGAGAATAGACATTCACTATCAAAAGCTTTATGAATGTTTTTTTGTGAATATCTTTACATTAATTTTAAAAAAGCATTCATATACACAATAATTTACTAAAAGCTCAGTTAAGCCTTTCCAGACGGGTCATGGGTGAAAGGCCATGTCATTGCATTTGTTGACACACATTCAAAATTTTATTGAACTACTATTTCATGAATTTACGTCAGTAAGTTTGGTATCAAACTGTAGATTATAATTCAAATTTTAGAACTATACATTATTCAATTTGTTAATTTAAAAGTAAATATTAAAAAAACACATATAAACATTGGTTTTTGCGTGTCACGTGGTATGTTGAATGCAGCATTGGTTCAAATTAGATGTTTGTGAAGTCAAAATACTAAGTCTTTAGTTTCATACAAATAAGAAGGTTTTATCTTTTCTATTTGCTAAGATATTGCTCATGTATTAAATCAAACACAGTTTCCATTTTTGGAAATGCTCCCTTGTATACACTTACTTCTATATATGACATGTATAACCAATCAGAAGCTCAGAATGTCCCCCTAGTGGCTTTCTCATCCATTTTAATGACTTTGGACACAATCTCTTTCTTTCGAACCAAGATTTCAAAGAGGTAGGTTGTGTCTGCTCAAAATATATTTTTTAAACTGAAATACAGCTTAGTTACTAAGCTTCATAAATTATAGTGGAATTCTATAGTATTAATATAGTAATTTATGATTTTTGGGAAATTTAACTGTATACATAAAACCTAAAATTAATTATTTTGTTTCATATCCTCCACGTGCAAAAAGTTTAAAAGGCTTAGCAACATACATCAAGCAGCAACC